ATCCCAGGAATCCATAAGGTGGGGCTACAGCTACAGCACATAAAGTGGTGTCAAACTGCATTATTTCTGCAGTGTAGATGCACCTGTGAATCAAGAGTCTATTTCTAAAGCACTTGTGAATGTGGTTCATGCAAAAGCGTGCACTTTTTAAAAGAAAATCTATGGCCTCAAAGACATCATAAGGGTCTCTCTTGTCCTTAGGGAGAGGGAGACAAGACTGCCAGAAATAATGCAAATTGAGTCCACTTTTAGGGTTAGGGTTAGTGCTAGGGAATCATGGGAATTGTATTTTTTTCTGAGACATTGAGCCTTCTCTGTCAGAGAGCTCTGGTGCCACAATAAACTACAGTTCCCATAATTCCCTAGCACTAGCCCTAACCCTAAAAGTGGACTCAATTTGCACTATTTCTGGCAGTCTGCAACCCCCCTAAGGCTGCTGCCACACTGCAGAGTTAATGCAGTTTGACACTGCTTTAACCATCATGTATCCATCTTATGGAATTTAGGATTTGTAGTGCACCAGAGCACTCTGATGGAGAAAGCTTAAATATCTCACAAAACTACAAATCCCAATATTCCATAGCTTTGAGTCGTGGCAGTTAAAGCAGTGTCAAACTGCATTAATTCTTCAGTGTAGATGCAGCCCAAGTAGCTCCATTTAAAAAAGAAGAAGAAGCCAGTTTTAGCTAACAAGAGACAAAATTGCAAAATGGCTATTCATCTCACCAAAAATGTAACTACCAATCTTTAGAAATTGTTACTGTAAACAGAATATTTTGAATGTAGCGATGATAAAAAAAAAAAAGATTGTAGTACTAATTCTTTGTTGCAAGCCTGGAATGGAAATACATTTAAAGTACTTTGTACGCAAACTATTTCAGAGGAGGGTGGTGTTACATTTCATAGATAAAAAGCAATTGGTCTGGTTGCCAAATAATGCATTAAGCCTCACAAACATAATTCCAAGCAATAGATTCATTTTGTAGGCATTATTAAATTTAAAGCAATATAGCTCCCTTGCAATTAGTTGTTCTTCCCCCAGCAAATAACTCCTTAAATCAAGCAACTTCTCAATGAAACGTATATTGTGAAAAGGAAATATGTGGCTCTCTGAAATGCAAGCAAGAGTTTTGTAGCTCATATAGGATAATCCTTTTAACAAAAGGATTGCACTGTATTAAATGATCCAGTGGCTGCAAAGGTGGGAAAAACAAAAGGAAAATACAAGAGTCTGACTTATCTAACTTGGCCTTCCTCTCTCTTGCAAAATGTGTTTAGTTTTTGAGACATTAAACCATATAAGACTTCTGTTTGCAAAATGTTGAATTTGGCCTGGGAGGAAGCCTGGAGGGGGCATTTCAGTTCCCTGGACTTTGCTGGACTTAAACTAAAAAGTTAAGAAGGAATTTTGATAGGAAATCAAAACCAGTTTCAGACCCTCTTTTGGAACATTGGACATTGTTGTTGTTGTTGTTGTGTGCCTTTAAGTCATTTCCAACTTATGGTGAGCCAAAGGTGAACCTATCCTGGGCTTTTCTTGGCAAGATTGTTTCAGAGGA